TAGAAAAAATAAGGGTCTTAAAAGTATGTTTGAAGTGATTTTTTAAAAATATTTTTTTTAGAATTATTTTTTTATAAATACTTTAAAAAAAAAATTAGTGTTTGAGATTGTCCCACCACCACCATTACCACCACCGTTGCTCCCATCTTACCACCATCACCGCCACCATTTATCACCCACGACTACTATTACCATCACGATCGTCGCCTTATCCACCACAACTATTACCATCTCCCATCATCACTACTGTCACTCATCGCCACTACCACCGCTCACCTCCACTACAATTAGTGCTTAAATTTCTTTATCTTTCCTCTATATTTGTGATTTGATTTTGAGTGTGAATACAAATATGTTGACTATTTTTTTTTATTACTTCATGCTTTCAAATACGGAGAATAACTAGTACTTCTATATTATATATAAAATATAATCAATTTAGGAAAGACATTGTTTGAGAAATCTTCCTTCTTTAATTCTTATTTTTTTCACCTGAATTTTGAATTACTCTTATGCTTTGTTTGATAGGAAGGATGAAAAGTAGGAAGGATAAAAAGTAGAATGGATACATTTTTTATCCTTCAATGATGGAAAGTAGGAATGATACACTTTTCTTCCTTTGTGTTTGGTTGGATGAATGAAAAATAAAAATAACTAATTTATTTTTTTTGAATAAAATTAGGGGTGACAATCGACTCATTTGTATTGAGTCATAAAATTATGAGCCTTTTATATTTCTTGCTCGCGTGTCAGGTCATTTTCAAGTTCGTGTCATAAAATTTATGTCAAGTTCGAATCGTGTCATCATGTTGAGTCGAAAATTTTCACCTGTAATTAAGATGAATTTTTTTTAATTTAAAATTGATTTTTTTTCTGATTTTGGAGGGATTGATTTTGGTGAGTTGAAAGAAAAATTAATCTATTTACTTTTCCATTCTTCCTATTTTCCTTCCTTACCAAACATGATGTTTTATTTATTCTTTAAACTTTCTATCATTCTAACTTTTCATCTTTTTATTTTTTTATCATATCAAACGGAGCATTATAGTTGAATTTCAACATGTGGCCCAAGTAACTGCTTCCAATTTTTTTTATAACTATCTCACATATAAATTTTTCATCATTTTTATTAATTATTTTGAATTTAACTTTTTATAAAATTATAATTTAATATACTAATAAAAAATTTTCTAATGATAGTATGATGAGGTGGGAATAGGAGTACTGGTGGCGATGAAAATATATTATAAATTTTATGTATTTTACGAAGATACTCGGTATATTACCTACTATCATTTATGGATGTAAGGACTATTTATTTATTTTTATTAAATAAAAATTTATATTATATAATAATAATAATGACGTAATATCATAGTCGACCATAAAAGAGACCGTCTATTCTTAAGTTGACAGCAATTCAAACACAATTTTAGGTTAAAATTCCTCCGATAGAGTCAGCTCGACCAAATTGAGAGTCTTGCATACGAGTAACAACATGAGATCCGCGTGAAAACGAAGCGCGTGGATGACGATTCACAGTCTGACGATTGCTCTGCTCTTTGGTACTAACGCCGTCATGTACGTGGACGACGGCGAATTCCCACGTGTCACCCTGTCGGACTCCAAAACAATTATTCCAATCCACCTCTAAAAAAAACTTCACGTCCGTCGCAGAAAGCGAAAAAGGTGACCATCATAAAAGCTGCTTCACTCTGTTTTCCCTCTCTTTCCTCCATTTCTGTAAGTCTCCCTCTCCCTCTCCCTCTCCCTCTCCCTCTCTCCATCGGCGGTTCTCTCTTTGAAATTTCTCTTTCTGGTTTCACAATGTGAAACCTCTTTTGCATCTTTTCACTATCCTCTTCAGAAGAATTCAACTTTCGAGCAGATTCTCAGTGAAGAAAGCTAAAAAAATTTGAGTATTTGAGCCCATTCTTATCTCTGAGATCTCTGACGAGGTATATACTGTTTCTTTTTCGTTGTTTCCTTCTTGTATACATATCTGCATTTATTGGTTAAGAATCTCCTTTTCCTTACGTCTGTTTCCCTCCAAGTAACACTGTTTATTGTTTTTTTTTTTTGGATGGTAAGCTATGTTTTTTTTTGAGGTTCTTGCTATGATTTTAGGGTTTTTTGTTGGGTGTTGTTTCTATTTGCATTTTAATGATTGTAATAATTTGCATAATGGAGTTTGTTTACTGACTTGAGCATGGAGAAGGAAGAGAAGTTCTTTAACTGAATGTATTCGGAGTTTCAGAGTGGATCCGGAACAAGTTTTTTTTTTTTTGAACATGAGGAACAAGGTACTGAAAATAGGAATTCTGGTGTATTTTATAGGTTTTATATCACGGGATAAATTAAGTGTAGTGTGATGAGAGGGACATAATCCGAGGAATAGCAAGGGGTATTCTAATTAGTTTAGTGGACGTGTACCGACTACCGGGTTTATTAAGATTTCTTATTGCCCAAGTTTGGGGTATTTTTGGTCACATTTAGTTGTGACAGTTCCTGTAGCTTGTATGGCACAAAATTTTAGATGATTTCTATTAAATGGAATGTGAAGGGGGTCCTGTGATTTGTTGATGGTTATAATACATTGGTTTTGCAATGAAACAGGTTTTGGTTTAGCCTAGGTACGTGGGTGTAAGCAATTAAAATGTCGAGGGAGGGGTTATTTCCACAACCATTATTATACCTATGGACATTGTTAGGTGTTGCCCATCCCAGTAGGTTGTATACCGTTATGCGGAGTGATTAGTGTATTGAAACAATGGACTTTAGTTTGCAAAAGGTGAGGTGGGATGGATGTTGCAACCTTTATTGTCAAGAACTGGTAAATAATTTTTTATTTTCTCCTTGATGCACTCTGAAGATTAACTAAAATCATGTTTCCGTAATGTTGCTTTCTTCCAATTTTTTCTCCCCGTGGGCTGCATCCTAGAATTTGGTGTCATAGTAGTATATGGGAAATTGAAAAACATAGAAGTCTATTGATTATTATCTGTTATCCCTTGTCGTGCACCAAATCCAGCTGGTCAATTTGGAAATTATCTTCCTTTTTTTTTATAAGAACCAATATGCAAATTATGGTGTACAGTTTAAAACTCGACAAACAATATTAAATGATGTGCTATAACACACTAGTAACATTATTGAGAAACCATGTTTGAGTGAAATTACTTTATATCTGTGATGAGCACATTTTGTAATGCTTTAGTTTAGGGTTTTATTGGCGAAGTGAAATAGGATGAAAATGAAAGAGCACATAGCGCACACACACACACACACACGATATACATGTCATTTGAGAGTATTATCAACTATGCACACAGGTGAACAAAATCTACAAAAATTACTGTAAAAAATAAGAGATTACAGAATGGCTGCCAAAGTCTCCAACTGTCAGTCTCAAACTTATAGCCCCCTTACGTTATATGTAACACCCAAACACGCACTTTACAATATATTTCGTTTTGGACTAAATTTGCACAACTTTGAAACCCGTTATACAATTAAGTTCACATTTATTAAACATTTCATACACACTTCATCAAGCGATATGATATGAAGTACGTAGACTTGATAATCAACCCCGCTTCATGAGCCCCGAGTCTTAGGAATCTTGGTTCTTGAGTCTGAGTTACCACAATTCATCCTCTCAAGGCCACACATCCTCGTGTGGGACTTGTCCCGCATTTTCAAACCTAGGCGATGTGGGATTTTGGTTGCTAGCTCCCACCACTCTAGCTTTTACTACTCCAAGCCACTGCTCTACCAGAGTGGGGTGTACAAGACATCAACAAACTACCTAACCTCCAAACAACAAATGGTCAAGTACTCAAATACCATTTGTAACAACCCATGTTATACAATGTTTTCCATCTTGGGCTAGGTGTGCACGGCTTTAAAATGGTTGTACAATGAAAGTTCAAAAAATACACTTATAAACGACTTCATACACTCTTTGCGATGTGGGTCAAAGTACATAGACTTAGTACCTTATCTCACGTCATCCATCTTTGCCTCAAACTTTAGAAGTCTTGGCTCTGCTCTGCGTTATACGAGTGTCTGCCCTAAGTGATTCCCTTTTAAACGCAAGGAAAAGAATCTATGGGTAGAATTGTAGACACTTATTGGAGCACTTATTTAGCCAAGTAGGTCAACTAGGTTTAATTACAAAGCTTGAGAGATTAATAATTTCCTTCTCCTATCTGGAAGTCCCCTTAGCTTTTTCTGATAAGAAGGTTACCGTGATGTGAAAGTAATGAGTCTAATGACATACAAAACAATAGGTTCTGGCTTATTTCTTTATGCCTATTGAATATGCTGTTAAATGTGTAATTTAAGAAACCTATGTTTACAGATGCTCAGGTTAGATTGTTACAAAAGAGTAATTTGATGTTAACTTGGAAAAGCCCCTCAATGACCAATCTTTTTGGCGGGATTTGGTGGTGTGCACATCTAATCTTTGTATCTCTTGGTTGCTCATAGTTTCTTACCATATTGACGCTAGTTAGCTGCTACTCTATTTGTTCAGTTTTGTCCTACATAAGGCTGAAGTGACTTCATAGTCATCCGAACATGATGCTTTTGGTTATTTGCATACAAACATGTTAGATGAAACATGGGAAAGTCAATTATTGTTTTGGTTTCTATTTTAGCTTGAGTTATTTCTATTCGAGTTATTATGACTTAATGAGCATACTTGATTCTAGATTCATATGGGTACTTTTTATTTGTTGGGAGCATTTGTGCTTTTATCTATGTTCAAATAAGCACGTTTGTCACTGCATTTAAGTTTTACAGATATAATGCAGGAATTCTTGTTACTTCATGCTTTAAACCATAATTCTTATTTTCCATTTTGTTTAGTTGTTCATGCATCTTGTGCTCTTATGTTGGAAGTAATACAAAAAAAGAATTGCTACTAGGTAGGTTTCAGCTTTTGTTGATTATGAAGGTTAATATGGCTTATTTTGTTCTAGACTGTTAGTAAGAAAATGTCACAGAATGGGGAAGGAAAGTATAAGTCCAGAACTCTAATAGATGCATCAGAAGACAGTCCAGTGGCTTCAAGTGAGAATGTAAAAGTCTTTTCAAAGGAGCTTGTCCAGGTTGGTATGAGTCTTGAACTAATTTGTTTAATAGCATGAAACTGGGTTTGCCTTTCAAAGCTTGGTTGTTGATCCTGTTTGTGATAAAAGGGCATTTTACTGCCTTTTTTTTTTATGGTTTCAGCTTTTGACAATATTTTCTTATGTTGTTCATGTTAGTTATCTTTTTGCAATTACTAAAGCAGTTAACGCATTTCCTGCCTGTGGATTTGTGGAATTGGGAGCATTTTGAATGGCTAACTTATTACTCAGTTCTAAACTATGCACCACCGATTTAATATGGAGCAATAACAGAATCAGTGTTGTCATAGAGAACCGTTTATATGGGGTAAATGACAGGAAAATCATAAGCTTGTGTTGCCAATATATAACGTGAAAGCATTCAAAAGTTTGTACAATAGGATCAGCCAATATGTTGTTCAAGACTCCCTTTTGAGGAATTGTGCTAATCACCCTCTCCATGTAAACCATTCGATGATTTGATTCACCGATTCTTCCTGCTATGCCTTTTGCACACAACTTTTTTTTTATTTCCCCATAGTTCAAAGTATTAGCTGATACATGAGTCTCATTCAATTGGATACATCTTGGTCAACTTGGCAGAGGGATCCGAGTTATCGGACACCATTTCATGATGCTGCGGCTTGGCCTGGACCTCTCCTGATATCCAGTTTCTTCTATGCATCATTCTATGCGTGTCATTTAATGCTGTTCTCGCCACGCGTTCATTGCGGCTCAATGCCATCTGAGTTGATTACTGAAACTACGATCTTGAACCATGTTCCCTCCTAGGAAGCACAGATAATTCCCGGAGGGATGCCGTGGCAAGGTTGGACACTTTTGACACGGCTAGAAATATCTTGAATAGTCAATTGTGTCTTGCCCGTATTTTTTTGTTTTTAACAAAAAAAATGTTAATGTATTTTTTTTAAAAATATATATATTTTGTTGTATAACTTATATACTATAAATGTTAATGGATATAATGATATTTGATGAAAATGGTGGATATTTATTTTGATCTATTTCAATTTTTATCAAAAAATTAATATTTGCTAGGTCTTAATTATTAATATTGTTATAATAATATATGCTCTCTTTTTTTAATATATTACAACTCTATTATTATTTAAAAAATAAAATTATTTTAATAGTTGTATCCTTGTTGTACCGGTGTCCTATATTTTTTTACTTTGCCATTTTTCTGTTTTTGTATTGTATCAAATATAACACCTGTGTGCATATCCGTGGTTCCTAGGATCCCTCCCTCCCTATCCAAATCTATCTTCTTGTTCAGAACATCCCTCATGATTATTTTGCATATTTGTTTGCTCAAATATGTTCTAAATTTAAGGGGGGAAGCTTATTAAATATGTGAAATGTAGTAATTTTGCTGATGAAGTACTTATCAATAATAACAACATTTGCTATTATGAATTTATGATGCAGTAGTGATGCTGAATTGCCGAGATCTAAGATGTAACTGTGATTTGGTAAGGATTGGCTTTGGCCAAAACGATTGGTTTATCTGTGGTTTCCTTTTATGGAAGTTTATCATAAAAAATATAATTTGAGTAAATGATCTCCACTGCAGTTGAGGTTGGTGAGTTTCAAAATTTTGGCTTTATGTCTAATTGCTTACTAGATGTTGAGTCATTGTATGCTAAATGGGGTGTCACAGTTCATGAATTCACATATAGGATTTTCAGTTAAATGGAATCTGAGAAGCCCTGAACAGCAGTAAGATGTTAATATATGGAAGTGATCATGAACTCTTTATCGCTCTCTCTCTCTCAATGTGAAGAGGCAGGTTGGGGGCACAAATAATGTGCCGTTAAGACATTCTTTCTTCTTTTTGATAGGTCGATGGAGATGGTTCTTGCTTTCTGGCTGCAGAGGATGAAGTAATAGGGGTTGAACATTTATTAGCAGAGCCTAACTGCAATGACTTAGAAGTTGATGGCCTTCTAAATTTTGACACATTCAATCCGCAAAAGTGCTTCAATATTGATGAATTTTCAGCTGCTGGGTATGGGCATTTCAGAAATGAGAGCGGTAAAAATATTTCTTGCACGTAGAATGCATACTTGGCTTCTTCCTGTATTACATGTATGATAAAAAACAGTCCTAAATAACTCTCTTTAGCTGTCAGTTTTGCTAATCAGGCATGAATTGTTTTATTCGTCTGTGAGAAAAATCTGTGATGTAATCAACAATATTATTAAGTTGTTGAGGATCTTTATTTGCTTAATAGGAAACAACATTGACCTGGCCAGAATGTAGAGTGATTGAGAAGCCATTTCCAAAAGAGAAGTTTTTGGACCCTTGGTAGCCTTGAAAGCAGTAAATGGTGATAAAGCCCATTTCATGAGAGAATGAATATTAGTCTTTCGGCGTGTAGAGGACCTGGCAATATGAAGCCTGCAAATCCTTCAATTTAATATACAGAATTTTGAGCTTGATTGGACAGAGTGATAGGGTAGGAGGACAATCATATCATGTCAAGCTGATTTATGCCATGTCGAAGTGCAGGTATTCTATTAAATGGGCCCATTCGAAAACGATAAGCTTAATTAATTGTGTCAAAATCTTCAAGCCTAACACATGTTTATTACATGGGTGACATGGTACATGAAACCCATTCAATGACCTGGTTTTGTTGAGTTAAAAGGGTTGTACGGGTTAGGTGGATTGCAAGGGTCAGGTTTTTAGGTGGAAATATTGTAAAGGATGCCATTGCCAAAGTCATCTTTATGTTGGAGGACTTTCTGGTTTCACTTTCTCCAGAATAGCCATCAATGTTAACTTTTCTTTTCTAGAATAGCCATTGTGTTTCAATTTTTTTAGCTTCTATGTTGTTTGAAGACTTGCTGATGTGTTTCTGTATGGATATGCAGATGATTGGGATATTGTGATTTCATGTGAAGATATATATAGTATTCGTGCATTTTCTTGGAAAGCTTAGTTCCTTTGAGATGGAATATACAAGTGTTCTTGCATATTGATCGATCCATTCCTTCTTTCAAGTTCATTATCAGCTTGCAAATTATCCATAAAGTTGGCCACTGAGATATTTTGACTTGAGAGGAATTTGTCTCTACCTTTGGTGATATGTCAATGGGGATTCATTATTCATAATGATAATGTTATAATTGACTATTAAAAGATCATGTTTGACTCTCTGGTTTCTACAATCACTACATTTCTTACTGATCTGGTTCAAAGCGCCAACATAAAATCAGTATCCATGCATCTAGGCAAAAACAAGAGAATATTTTTTTCACGCATGGACATAGATGATAGATTGAACATGCTGTGGGAACTTATCACATTACTTTTTAAGTTATTTGATGTTTTGTTTTCAGAAAAAAATGATGCTCACTATTGTGATCGTTATTATTTTACCTACAAGTATGAACATCTGGGTGCGGAGCAAGACATCCAACAAGAAACCTAATCCTGGCAGCGCAGGGATCAGAATGCAAGACCTCTTGCCCATGGGGTCTTCATATTAGCTTATTTACATTGCAGAATGCTATGTAATTGTTATCTTAATGGCATATTTGCATTGCAGAATGCAAGACCTTGCAGTGGTGGGAGCTAGATCACACAGAGCGGAAGCATAAAAGCAGAAAAATTCAAAAAAATATTAGAGCGGGAGCAATTTGAGTGCTCCATATAAACATACACATATTTTATATTAAATTTCATAACCTATTCAAATTGTGTTGTAAAACACAAAAAAACTGGTAAGGCATTTGCCTTTGGACAAATGCTGAGAGGGCATTTCTATGCCTTTGGAATACATCCCACATCGGTAAGAAGAGAGAAGATGGCAGCTGAACTAGCCTATAAAAGGGGCAGTGGACCTCACATCATCCAATACATATCTTAATGTTTCTGTATATGGCCTTAGCTGGGAAACAGCAGAAGCAATCACATGCCTTTTGTCCAATGGCAGGTGAAGTGGCACAACAAAATATTAAATTCGTGAATTCAACATTTGAGTTTGCGAATTTATTATGTCGAGTTTGCGATTTTATGGCGCATTCGCTCTCAAAGAATGGATTAACGCATGGAGTGTTAGAGTACACCTAGTTTGACACGAATTATGTGACTTAGGGTGGGAGTCTCGTCCACCAGGCTGCCCTTGTTTGTTCATGTATTATTTATATTGATAAGAAGAATTTAACTTCTGTGGCAAGTGATGGATCATCTGTTGAGGCTGATTTAAACATTCTGTAAAGCTGAAATTTTAGAAACAAGAGTGATTGGTGTCATAAGCATTTATAATGCAATATGTTTGAAAAGCAAACTGACACAGACAAGTTGGCAATTTAAGGTGTTGAAACTAATGTAAACTGGTTTGCAAATTCAGGTATCACACGTTACAATCTCTTTCTGTTTACAAATTTTAGGGTTTCCTTCTTCGGTGCAACCATATGATATAAATGCATCTACTTAAACTATTAATATTGAAATGATAACTAATTAATGCATTGTATACTTTTAGGGATGTTGAGTTACTACCTATGACTGGGAAAAGAGGAATCATACAATAGAACTAGAAAGTGCCTCTTCATTTGTTCGTGTGCTTTTTTGTTGTCCTTTTGTTTCATAATAACATTTTTTATGTAATTTTGTATTCAGGTGCTTTGGATTCTAGTCTTTCCAAGGGCGAGAAAACAAAAGATGAAGTATGTCCATCCGCAAGCACTGATAATTTTGCCATCATCATATTGTGTTATTCAGGTCACCTAAATATTTGCTGTGGTGTTGTGTTCTGATATTTGCACCCAAATCAAGTGCAATACCGTAGGCAGTGCTTTGATATGTATTATGAACGGCTCTTTACTTCATTTGACCACTTTTTTGAGCTTAAAAGTTCCCTTAACTATAGGAAGTTTAAGAGAACGAGGATTGTGTATCCTGCCTTTTAAATGTTGGTGTGATGAAGCTTACACCCTCTGCAATAACCAGATTAAGCAGACACTCATATATGGGCAAGGGTTCTTAGTTATTATGTTGTTGACTTTTGGTTTGTGTCACTAAGTGATGGATGGATGGATGGATGGGCTATGTTAATAATGGTTTTACATAGTTTGCTGTTTTCTTTAAACTTAGATTAGGGTTGATGCATGTCATGCTTTCAGTTTGCTTTCTCATTTGTGCCCAGATTTATGTTAGTCAAACACCCGATTTTTAATGGTATAATCTGTTTCTCTGCTAGACGGCCCTCTTTCAGTAGAGGTTTCTTCATTCTGTCATTCTGCTTCAGACCATAAATTTATGAAGCAAAGATGACAGATTTAGTCTTGTAGTTATTTGTGAATAATAGTACTATATTGAGGAGATTAATGTGTTTGCAGGTGCTTGATGGAATGCTGGAAGGAACAGATGATAAGATTCTTGCTGGAAAAAATAATCTTTCCGATGCATGTGAAGATTACCTTTTGGGTAGGACATTACGAGTTAATTCTACTTAATTTGACGCATCTTTTTCTTTTTCCTTTATTTTTTAAAAAAAAAAATTCTCTGCTGATTTATTTTTGGTTATTCTTTTTTGTTGGTTTAGATACTGAGTTCGATGACTACATTTCCAATCTGAATTGCATTCCAAGCAAAGGATCATGTATGAGAAACTCAGACTTAGAACACCACTCTGCGATTTTGGGTGGCAGGGAATGTGGTGCTGAGGTGACTGAATTGTCTAATGCAAGTATCCCAGCGCTTGAAGTTACCTCTGATCAGAATACTTTGTTGCTCAACAAGATGGCAAGTGATGAATTACACGAGGCTTTTGGTGACATGGTTGGCCATGAAACAGCAGTTACAGACAAGCAATGGCTGAAGCACCGCATATCATTTGGCTTGCAGAATCTGGAGGAGTTGGACAATAGTTTGAGGCTCTCAGAATCTCAAGAGACTTCCAATGAAGATAAAAGGGAAATTGGTTTCTCAACAAGTGATGAGAGCTCCCTAAGAGCATCCAGTGCCTTCACAGATGTGTTCAACTTCAAAACAAAGCCAAGAGTCCGACATGTGAAGAAAAAGAGGGATACTGGATCTGAATCTGTGATGAATTTCGCTTCTGAGCTTAATGAGTTAGTTTTTGGTTTTCCGGAGTCAGGAGAGAAGGAAAGCATGGTGGTTACAAGAAAGAGAGTGCGTAAGCCTACCCAGAGGTACATCGAAGATCATTTGGAACAGAAGTCAAGATACAAGAGGAAGAAAAGTGGGATTTCTGATACATGTTCGAAAGATAAAATTCTCCCTACTAAATGTGCCGGGCAAAATTACAAAAGGGGATCTGGATCCACATCGGTGGTTTGTCGCAAGGAAACTTACAGAGGAGCTTGTATTCAGGTTCCATTTGGTCTTCCGGTTCAAGAAGGGTGCTCGAAGAAAAAGGTGAGGAACATATTTTTTGAAAGGATTGCAAAAACTTCTTTTCATGTTTTACTGCTCACTTGGTTCAATAAATGAAGTTCAGTGTTTAACAACATCCTACTTCTCAGTTTGGCCAATAAGAGGATGATCTTGACTTTTTGTCTTATTAAGCAGATAGGTCAAGTACTAACACCAAAAAAGGTGAGCATACAAAAGTGTGCAAGGGCCCATTTTTCTTTTTTTGGTCTTAATTTTGGTAGGGATGAGCGGCATTGTTTGGGGGTGGGTAGGGTCTGCTCATAGCGGAGTGTTGACTCTTTTTTTTTCGGGGTTGGGGGGCAGATGAAGAACTTTATTAAAAGAAGAGAAATAAAGAGTACGGTCGTTGCTTGACATGACAAGGCAATTTAAGTTGAAAGCCAACAATATTTATGGGTTTCTGCCAATAACATTTTTGGGAGTTTCTCTCTGCCATTTATGTAGTGGAGTTTTTTTATTATACTCGCATGTTCGTCTTATCATTTCTCTGTTCAGGAGCATGAATCTGCGAAATGCAAAGATATTATACTCCAACCTTCAAATGTAGAATTTGATACAAAGCCTTATTCAGCTGAGTCACCTGATAGCACATATGAAGATGATTGCATCACATGGACCAAGACTAAGCAAGTTAAGCAACGGAGAAAGCACCATTTGGTGTGGTCCCTTCCTGAGGTGTTAAAGTTGGTTGAAGGTGTTTCCAAGTATGGAGTTGGGAGATGGACTGAAATAAAGAGGCTGTTGTTCTCATCATCTGCGCACCGCACATCAGTAGATCTTAAGGTAGTATATGTTATCTCTGTTTCCACCTTATATTTTTCTGGAATCTGAAATTTGTTACTCTACTTGACGTCTGTCAGGACAAATGGCGAAATCTTTTAAGGGCTAGCTGCACACGGTTGCAAAGCAGGCGAGGGGTAGGCTATAACCAAATTTACATTTCCTTCTTTTTTTTTTCCTATTTCTTGCCTGAAGAAGTTATCTATCATTCACATTCATTATGTATCCCACTCTTGGCTAAAATGAACCATGCTGTAATCGACACACTGCTTTACAGGTCTGCATGTCATGTCATTTTCTTTTAGTGATAAAAAATGCAACTTATGAAAAAGAGAGATTTTGGAAACAATAACAATGTTTCTATGTAAGCTAAATTAGTATATCTGGGACTTTTCCCCAGTATGTGTTAGAGGAATCACCAGTGGCAATGTCTGAGCATGCAAACACACATAGAGGG